TAATAACTGTCTACCGATATGATTCTTTTCAAAACTTCAGCTAACTGCTAATTTAGTTTGCTTGACCTAACCAATACTTATGTATCTGCATGTGCTTTCACCCTATAGTTTGGCCGCTATAAATTAGCCGTCTTTAATCCGAATGACAAAAAACTAAAAATAGTCCACCTTTGCTCTTAGCTGAAGCTGTCGCAAAAATTTCAGACATATAGCTCACGTGACTTTTTGTGTAGGTGTTTGCAAAAATTTTGGTCAAAATTGAGTGTTTTTTGTGGAATAACTTGGCACATATTGCTTATATTTAGACCAAATTTGACATTCAATTGTAGGTCATAAAGATCTATCAGTGTACCAAATTTTAAGAAAAATCCATGAATGTTATATATGCTTTTCTATCAAATAAAGTTTCCATACTTTTGGTGCAAAGAAAAAAAATTGGAGATTTTATATCATGTATTTCTTAATGGATTACCTTGAAATTTGGTATGTGCAGTAAGGGTCGAGTAGAGCACATCCACTGAAAATATGTGATAGTTTGTATTACCACAGTTCAAGCTAGAGAAAGTGGAAAATTGCTAAACTATCACTCCATTTACTATCACACAATGTGTCCTGCAAGTTGTTTTAGCCACACAATAAACTACCATGTGTCTTGATCCCCAAAAGTCATAACAGACACACAGTTCCTACAGGATACCCTATAAAAGAACCAAACCATTATATATATGCAAATGAGTGAGAGAGAAAAAGTTGGATAGATCTCAGACATTATATGTCATTTTCTATTCTGTAATATTGTGTTATTCCTTGTGATTGAGTTATCATTTATTTAAGTTTTCAAAACTAATATCTGTATTGTTTCAAATACAACTCCTTTAAGTTTTTCCTCTATAATGAAATACACGTTGTCATTGAAATTAATTTCTCATTTGAGTAAACACGATTCATCTAACCATTTATACAAGGTTGTAGCTATTTCTTAACATGATTGTTTTTCATTGTAAGCAATGCCCTGGGTTCCATTCCTAGTTTTCACTTCTATAGAGAAAATTTTCCAACTTTATGTGGTTGAAGTCCTTCCAATAAAAAATGGTAATAAATAGATATTGGACAATACAAGATGATATATTGAAGTGAAAAATCTTGATTCTCTCTTTACCAGTCATTTGGAAACTGAGATCTGTTGGCCTGTAGCTTATTTGGTTAACTCGTTTATCCTGTAAGCAGGATCATCGGTTTGAATCCCACCCACTCTTAGTTTTTATTTCTTCAGTAAGATATTTCTAATTGAACATAATTGTGTGTTACTCTTCATATTTACTCTTTCTCATACATTTGGGTGTATTATGTATTCATTAGTCATATAATGGTGATACATTGTTTATATAATTCTTATAATTTTTAAACTCAAAATATATGTAGTTTTGTAGATTATTAACTCCTTTATCCTGTAAGCAGAATCATGGGTTTGAATCCCATACACTCTTAGTTTTTATTTATTCTGTAAAATATTTCTAATTTAAGAGAATTGTGTTACTCGTCAAATTTAGTCTGTCTTGTACATTTGAGTATAATATGTGTTCATTAGTCATATAATGGTGATACATTGTTTATATAATTCTTATAATTTTTAAACTTAAAGTAATGTCTGAGTTTCCAAATAAAACTTTACTAAGGTTTGTTTGTGTAATGCCCCATAATAGGAATAACATGTTAAACAATAATTGCCAAATATGTGATTTAGTATCTAAATAGTGTTTTGTAAAGAAATAGGGTACTTTACATTTCAGGATTATCAACTGTGGTGTGATTTACATGAACTGGAAGCACAAGTGGGCTCTAGATATTTAACACATGAATCTGATGATGCTCGTTGGGATGTCTACCGACAAGAACACAATCTCCCTCTGCCAAACTGTGTCATGTTGTCTCAAGAGCTTCAACAAAGGCCTACCTCTGGCAACCAGTTTTCTTCAGACTTGTTAAACCTCCCAGAAGAAGTGACATCTGTGAAGTTATAAGAAATGGTTTGAATGTGACAATTGTTATGATATACATATCTAGGGACGAGGGAAACTGCTTTGCTCTGTTCCTCATGTTTATTATATCAAGATGTAGGGTTTAGAAGAAGTTCAGAAAATTCTGTATGTGGGAAGAAATAGCAGTTTAAGTGCCAATAACAACCCTTAGTTGATGACTGTGTATGCTGAATACTTATACTAGATGAAAGACTCCAATATAATTTCTGTTTCTTTCATTTTGTTAAGCTGCTATATACGCTTGACTTGTGACAACTAGAAAGTTACTGGATACTAGGTCTGGGGTATGAGATTGAACTTTGATATTTGATTAATATTTACAAGCACTGTATTTTTATCAGTTTTATGATTTTTCCATCATATTAATTTTTTGTTGTTGAATATTTGTACAGGCTTTTAAGTTTACTTGTTGAAGCTAATAAAAATTAAGGTTATTAGAAGATGTGTAACAATTCACAGTATGATTAATGCCAAAAGAACAAGTACAAATAGACAACAGGCCCTGTAACCAGCACGTGCTTCATCTTACATTTCATTATTTATACTTAGGTAAAAAAAATCTGTAAGATAACAGATAAATTTACATTATATTCTTGCTAACATCTAATGAGAAACTTTAACTTTTAAAGACTTACTTTCATGTTAAAAGTTTAGATTGATTATTAATTCATTAGCTAAGTCAGTGTGAGTTATGTAGCAGAATTTAAAAAAAATGTTTATTGGCAAAAAAGTATAGAAAATTAGTTTTATAATGACTAATTTAGAGATGCTGTATATTTTTTAACATTTTCTCATGACATGAATACAATAAAATAAGTTTATTAGCACGGTGGTAATAAATAGCTGAAATATTTTATCACCTTGCCAGATCAGGTCTAGATTTAAATCAAATAGGTAACATTTGCATAGAAACTTTATTTTGGCAAATGCAGAAAAAAAACGTTTCTAATAGAATTATGTTAAACATATACAAGTATTGTTAGTTTATGTTTTGTTTTAAAAACAGCTAAAAATATTAACAGTCACTCCTTGAAGCATTACAACATATCTGAAACTGTTGTTCAGAGTTGGTTATTTGGCTTAAAATTTGTTATACTTTTGAAAATGTTGGATATAGCATCCAAAATGGATTTTTTTTTTGCTAGAAGAGGTAATTTAAGGCTCTCAGTGGTATAAATGTTTTCTATATAGTTTTTAAGAATTTGACAAATACTTTAGTGTGATGTTGTAAGACAAATTATAACACTAGGATGAATGTAAAAATAATAAAGTAAAATGCTTTCTTTAGGTCTATAAGAACAGAAAACCATGTTTAATATTTAGCTTAGTTTCTATCCTTTATAGTAATTTTAGATCAAATTAAAAAGGCAAAATTGTATATTTCAAAGTGTTGAAACATAGATCATGTTGTAAAATATGATTTAAGTGGTCAGATTTAATATAATTTTAATACCTTATTTTACTGATAGTTGTTATTCTTGTTTAACTTCTACTTTGTTGATAGCTTTCCATTTCTGAAAGTGAGATTTTGATATATGTTTCTGAGTTTTGGACCATTGTTTATTTTAAGGTGACAATCATGTAGATAAGAAGGATTTGAGTGTAATATAAAATAGTGATTAATGTTGTCATACCTTATGTGAAAGACAATGTTACATTCATCAGATATACTGTATACTAGATGATATGATCTTCTTTATGCTGTTGCCTTTTTTAAAAGTCTGGAATTTATTACATTCCCCTGTTTTTCTGTTTGTGTAATGATAATAATTGTTGACTGGGGGGGGGGGTCATTGTTGAGAAAAATTTTTCAAGGTATAAAAAATTTTACACTTCAGTTATTATATAGCATTTTTGCAATGCACAATATTAAACCTCAGTAAGTTGCATAATTATATTTCACTAATACCTGTGATAAATTAAACGTTCATTTAGTCTTATCTGTTACTTTGATTCTTTGCCACATTATATATGTATTTCTCATTGCTAGGAAAAGGAGCCTGTTAATCTGCAGTAAGCAAACAAATTCAAAAATGAAATCTTAAAGTTCTAATTTATAACCCTAAGGAAATAAGTAGTTACTGCATTTGTAAACATACTTAAGGAAGTCACCTGTTGTGGTTTTTACTGGTATTGAGATAACTGTGTAATCTTTACTTTTTAGTTTCAAATATGTGACCTAAGAGTTGACCAATTGTTGAAACTTAATAGTTGCATGCGAGTTTATTATGCTAACGGCAATTTAATGGTGAGAATAATACTGATCTATGGGATCTTCTGTGCCAGTAAATCTGCATTCATTCTTGAGAGTTGAATTAAGGTGAAATGTTAAGAGAATGTGTTGAATAAAAAAGCTGCTCGAAGCTGTTGGGGTGGGCAGTAATTTAAACTAAACAATTCAGCCAATTTTAGTCACTTGTTTAAGAAATATTGTGGCTTCTTTAGATATAAAGAAAAACTGTACACTCTAATGATGATCTATGATTAGTGATTTTGTCCAGAACAATATTATTTGAGCAAGATATTGTTTTTATTTTAGTGTCTCATTGGTTAAGGTAGGAAGAATGTAGCACACAAAACATTATGAGGAGTTCACTAGGGATAATTAACTTTTTGATGACTTTGAAACCTGTTTAATCATTATAAAAATTGGTGATGAATTTCAAGAAAATCTCATGTTCTACCACTAATATTTCAAATTATCCATCCTCTCAATAACACTAGGTGTGTGATGAACATGTATTAAATTATAGACTAGTTAAATGAAAGCTAGATGTAGCATAGTTTTAACTGACTTTAGCTTAAATATCCTAAAGTGAACCATGTTATCTACACATTTCATCATGATATGTGATGTTAAGTGTCCAAAACATTAACACCATCGTATCTAGACATGTCATCATGATACCTGGTGTCAAGTATCCTAAATGCTATGCCATGTTATCTAGACATGTCATCATGATACCATATTATTAGGCATTTCATCATGATACCTGGTGTCAAGTATCCTAAATGCTATGCCTTGTTATCAAGACATGTCATTATGATACCACATTATTAGGCATTTCATCATACCTGGTGTCAAGTATCCTAAATGCTATGCCTTGTTATCAAGACATGTCATTATGATACCATATTATTAGGCATTTCATCATACCTGGTGTCAAGTATCCTAAATGCTATGCCTTGTTATCAAGACATGTCATCATGATACCATATTATTAGGCATTTCATCATGATACCTGGTGTCAAGTATCCTAAATGCTTTGCCATGTTATTTAGACATGTCATTATGATACCATATTATTAGGCATTTCATCATGATACCTGGTGTCAAGTATTGTAAATGCTATATCATATTATTTAGGCATTTCATCATGATACTTGGTGTGAAGTATTCTAATCATTACAGAGTTTCTAGTATTCTACACTATATTACAATATATTGTATCAGATATTAAAATAATTACACATTAGTACCTAGTACCAAATATCCAAAACACTTCATCATTATACACAATGTCAGTTATTCTGAACTCATTATGCATGGTGTCAAGTTTCCTATGCGGTTTGTCATGATGTGTTTTGTCCAGTGCTATGGTATTTAAAAATAATTGAATAAACTGACCTATTTTGGTGGTTGGGGTCCAGCTTGAACAGTAGCAAGGTAAGCACTAAAGGTTAAGTGAGAAGGGAGTAAACACTATGTTCCCCAAGTAAGAAGTGGATAAACAAGCTTTACTCTTGCTTTCCTTTGACTGCACCACTGATGATTTTATAAAATTTTCTATATAGAATGCCATGATAGCAACTGTCTAAAATCCAAGACTTGGTGTTAAATATTTTTGAAACAGTATGAAATATTATGTTAGATATGTTCTAGATGGTTCATGATACTGTGAATCAAATATTCTAAACTGTATCATGAAGCCTAGTCTCAAGTATATAGTAGATACTACATTATGATACTTGTTGTCAGTTATATCTTTGGCACTGCTTCTTCACATTGCATTTCTGAGCAGATTACAGACTAAAACTATTATTTACAGCTATTTTATGTCTGTCCTGCACGGTATTATATTTTGTACAGTGTGTGGAGAGCACAGTAAAGACTGTATTTATAAAAATTTTATCAGGTGGTTTAGTACTCTGATTGATGTGAACAAATGAGTAATTAACCACAAAGCTATGTATATAGGAAGAGGGCAGCTTTGGGTTTGATATTTATAAATTTGGCTTAACATGGTTTGCTTTAAAACATTATACAAAGTAACAAATAACGTTATGTTTCTGTTTGCCAGAACTTTTGGAAAAGCCTCCAGCTAAACTAGTAAAACAGTTTTCACAATAAATTTGTATTTTCCCCATCACTTAATTAGAATTGTATTTTTTATCTCAGTTGCTTGTATTCTATTGACAGATACTTAAGGTAGGTTTCAAGTTATGTTTTCTCTTTAGTGCAACATGGTTGCATTCTATAAATTTGTTGATCATCTTAATTCCAATTTTTTGAGGAAAACCAGTGTAATGCAAGTTAAAGAAACACATTTATTATGCATATGACATACTGATGATTAGTTCTAACTGTGATGATTCTGCACACTCATGTAGATATAAAGAGGGGTTATCAAGTTTTGTAGAGAATTTGTTGTAATACTATATGTCTCCACATTTTATGGCAAAATAAATGTTTTTATGAAGTATTGAATATTTTATTTTTGATCTGTTGACTTGTATCCAAAACATGTAATAATTTAACCAGTTATTGAAACAACCAAAAGCACTAATAAGATTAAAAACAGGATTTAAGTAAAATATAGTGAGCTGTTGATAAACTTATTTTATGAATAGATTCTTCATCATGGACTGGTATTACCAGTACAGTTTTTCTCCTGCAAAATCTTTATTTTCCACATGTTAAACGAGAGTTATCTAAACCTTTCATAACAAAAGGATAAAGCTCATTTCAGAATGGTTTGGCAGAATGTTAAAAAAATGGATGGTTTAAAGTCAGGTGTTCAGTTACATATGTATTTTTCGAAATACTACCAGTTTTCCTATTCAAAACAAAAATATTAAATTGATTTCACAACATTAAGTATGTTAGCAAGAATAAAAACATTGAATTAAAGAATGGGAAGGGATCTAAAAGAAGGAACAATATCTTTTGACCATCACTTTTTTTCAAGGTTATTAATTCACATTGGTTTTGGTTTTTAAGTTATGTGATTTTGTACAATCATCATTTTACTGGGTTTCTTGTGAAAAAGTACTTTTCCATTTTTTCTTTTTTTTTAATTCTTAGAGTTGATTAGTGAATTACCCTAAGGAAGATTCTAATGAGGAAAATGATGTCCCTATCTACTATCTAGAGAAACCACAGCCAAGGGAACGGGTTTGGAGAAATCAGCGTGGAAATAAAGACTGCATATAAATGACTATGATTAAATATGTATCACAACAAGTAACATTTATGGGTTTTAATATCATTTCAGAATTATTGAAGTGGCTATAAATATAATAGGCAGATAGGAAGTGCACAAATTCATACAGATCCTGCATGTAGCCAATCCTTGTCACTAACCTGGTCTGCTGTATAAACTGTTAAATGACAAAATATACTTACGTAGAACATTTGTAGAATGTGAGAAGGTAAGTGCTCTGATCTTCAATCATCAGTATTACTATTAGCATACAGAACTGTCATTATAATAAGCCCAACTATTTATTGGTCCAAGTATTAGGTCGTCAAGAAATTAATGTTGCGTTTTCGAACACTTTCATTAACCACCTCCCAAAAAACGTACATTACGTATAATAGTTAAATAAACTGCCTAAACGTCACGGTAGGGTAGCCTATATAATGTGTAAAGTTTGGTATACTATAATCCCTTATCGTGATGGCACACGACGAGACACACACATTCGGCATGTAATGCTGTTTGAATACAATAAGGGGAAACAATGCCTCTGTAACCACAAAGAATATCAAAGAAGT